GATACAGTATCACACCGAATAGTTAATTAAATCTGCTTCAGTCAACAATACGCAAATACATATTTCACTTGATACAAGAAGGCATAATGACAGGTTTGTCGTAGCAACGTACCCTCACATATTGACCTGTGAAACAACCAGTGTGGTCGTGGGCTTCGGGAGAGAAAACTTAAAGCGGCCATTTTATCGTTGAGTTGGGTACGTGACTACAGGGTGTGCCAAATAACCTTGATTTCAACTTCGCCAGAGTCATGCGCATCGCTAAGATTTGTAAGTACAGAACAAAAAACATTAAATATGATTCTATTTTCCATGTTACTGTGACCTGAACAATGACTATATTCTACATACTCAGGAGATGGAGAACGTGCTAAAGGACATGTAGTGTAAGAAAATCAGTGTAAAAACTAACAAAAATATACAATTCAGTTATAAAGATTCATATAATTATTGATTATATAATATAACTGCAGTGCGTATTCACGAATTTACTGTTTTTCATTCGCATTATTTGGTAACTAATACTACACGATATGTGTGTGTATGTGTGTGTTTGTATGTGTGTGTGTGTGTGTGTGTGTGTGTGTGTGTGTGTGTGTGTGTGTGCATATATATATATATATATATATATATATATATATATATATACACACACACACACACATACGCACACACACACACACACACACACACACACACACACACACACACACACACACACACACACATACACACATACACACATACACACATACACACATAAACACATAAACACATAAACACACACACACACACACACACACACACACACACACACACACACACACACACACACACATATATATATATATATATATATATATATATATATATATGTATATGCATATATAAGTGCATATGCATATGTATATATAAGTAGATAAATAAATAAATATATACACACACACATATATGTTATATATATACACACACACATATATGTTATATATATATATATATATATATATATATATATATATATATATATATATATATATATATATATATATATACATGTATGTATATGCATATATAAGTGCATATGCATATGTATATATAAGTAGATAAATAAATAAATATATACACACACACATATATGTTATATATATATATATATATATATATATATATATATATATATATATATATATATATATATATATATATATATATATATATATATATATATATATATATATATATATATATATATATATATATATGAAATATGTTTAATATTTGTATATATATGTATATGTGTATATATATATATATATATATATATATATATATATATATATATATATTTATATGTATGTATGTGTATATATACAGATGTATCTCTTTGGTGCAACAATGTTAAAATCTAACAATGTCGTTTATTCAATGACCGTTCCTAGATAAGTAACTTGGCTCACTGTATACCGAAGGGAAGTAAAGGCATTTGGTTGTGTTTGGTTTCCCTTTTATGAGCTTTTAACGAGCATGAATGTACACTAAATCCACATTTCTTTTGTCCTCTTGTTCTTAAAAAGTCATCGCTATTCGCCCTAATGTTATCTGGCCGGGATTTTGACACATCTTGATTAGACTCTGTTAGCTTGGATTAAGGACTGAATAAGACGGAATTCTATTGAGAAGGTGGTTAGACTATAGTAGCTATCGTTGCAGCTGCTTACTATATCATTCCACTCACTTCCCAGAACTCAATTTTATCTGTTTAAATGCGGATGAAGTGTTTCATTCTTTTCTTACTGCATATCGCTTTCATTTGTCAAAGTCTTCAAGCTAAAAGAAGATTATCTTTGGTCATTAGCTCAATCAAATTCCACTGTATACCCTGTATATTTTAAATGCATTCGTCTTTCATACTGAGGAAATAATACAATTAGAATATTATACCATTTTAATAGATTTCATGACAGATTTATTATTGTTAGGAGTACATCATTAGGCCAATGAATAAAATTTCTACTTATATATTACTATGGGTGAAAACCACCTCTTCAGAGAACGTTGTCGCAGCGGTGGCCGGAGAGCTGCACGTTCCTGCCGTAGACCGTCCTGACCTGCTCCGTGCCAAACTGGCCGTAGATGAAGATGAAGTTGGAGGGGAAGCCGAGGGACCGCAAGGAGTGGAGGCACGAGATGCTCATGGTGGGTCCTCCGCACATGATGATCTGAAACATATAAATGGAGACTGTATTTTCTTTCAATTCTCCCCTCTTAGAAGAAAAGAAGTAACAGTAAATCAAATGGAAATGTGTCTGCATCAAGGCTATCTTTCATTCCCAGTGAGTGATTTTTCTATGGGAGACCTTGTGCTTGATGCCGTTGGGTTTGGTCACGTGCTTGTCGATCATTTGCGTGTCGATGAAACCTTCCTCGCCCTCCCACTCTTCGGGCGTCTCTCCGAGCGTGTGGACGATCTGCAACCGCGAATCTTTCGCTGAAAAGGAGAAATCACAGGTTAGCTCTACACTGTTGGTGAAGGAATGAAGTTATGTATTATATGGACTATCCAAGAGAAAATTAAATTGCTGCATAGCAATGACAAATTGCTAACCGTGCCATCATACATGTATCCATCCTCCTCTATCCCATGTTTACCTGCATAATTATCAAGCTCCTCCCGGTACAGGATCTCGTTGTAATTCTCGGAGAAGTAGAGGAGCTTGATCTTGGTCCTGTCGTCGGGGTTGTGCATGACGGCGCGGATGAGCTGCATGCCGGGGGTGATGCCTCCGCCCGAGGCCAGGAGCGTCACCTCGTCCAGCTGGTTCGCCTCGTACTCGAAGCCTCCGCAAGGGCCCTGGAACTCCACCTTGTCACCTGAAAAGGCTCAATGATTAGCTTTATAACTTATTATCTTCTTAATAGTATTTCATTCACAGCCAAATTTACTGCCTACTCCATTTACACTTTTCGTAAATTAAACTTCATAAACCTCCATCTCTTACACACGTAAGAGATGGAGGTTTATGGCAGAACACCAAGAACTTTGAGATGGTGGGTTAGAAGACTCACCTGCCTTGAGAGCCTTGAAGTGCTGAGACATGAGGCCCTGGGACTCGAACCTGAGCACGAGCTCGATGCGGCCGAAGTCGTCCGGACGCGACACGGGCGAGAAGTAGCGCTGATGCTCCTTTCCTTTGATGTTCACACGCACCTTTTGAGAAAGCATACGTATCTATGTATATATGTCTGTCTGTCTGTCAGTCTCTCTCTCTCTCTCTCTCTCTCTCTCTCTCTCTCTCTCTCTCTCTCTCTCTCTCTCTCTCTCTCTCTCTCTCTCTCTCTCTCTCTCTCTCGTTCTCTTCCTTCCGCTCCCTCTCTCAACCACTCTCTCTCTCTCCCATACGTAATGCACATACTTAGTGGCCAACAAGCATACAGCCACATATACAATCATACATGATGGCTTACATATATAAACAGACACCTCGAAGAAGTCACAGTGCTACTCACCACAATGTACTGGCCGGTGAAGCATCCTGTGTGGTCGGTGTTCTTGGGCAGAGCAAAGTCAAAGGAAGCCATCTTGTCGCTGACGGGCGTGTGCGCCTTGAGGGTCAGGGGCAGCCATGAGTCCGGCTTCAGGGCGGGTTCGTGGCTCACGCCGTCCTTCGTCTTCAGCACCTGTGTATGTAGGTTAAACATTGAGATTAATGTGAATTACAAAGAGTGCAATGAGATATTGGATGTGTTCTAGTGGTGGAGATACTTAGATCCATGAACGGTATGCATTGCTACAAATATAGAAAAGGATGAATGAATATGAATATCTACACAATACAAGAAATGTATTTGACTTATTTGTTGTACTGTTAAGGTATCCATTCTCATTCATACCTTCTCTACATACTTAGAACCATCATGCAAGCCGTGTTGTGAGACGGATGTTTACCTTACTGTTAACCGCCGGAGGACACGTGTTGAAAGGATTCTCGAAGTCGGTGTCCTGGAAGGGATGCTTGGCCTGTTGTCCCTTTTCCTCAATCTCCACCTCTTCCAAAAGCGATTTGGCGAGCTCCTTGCGCTTGCTGATGCTCATCTTTTTTAACTCATGGTGGATGACTCGCTCGTTGGGCCACTGATCCCTAGGATCATTATTTTGTTTTGTTATTATGTAATAATCTTTCCTTTTTATCCTTTCCATGCGAAATGAATGTGACGAAAATTTTACTTTTAATTGTTTTTTGAAGCAAAAAATAATACTGACAATAAATTAATGAACAGATGCAGAAGTCGTTAGTTGACATGGCTCACCAGTAGTCGATGCAATCGATGTTGTTGAGCGCTGTCTTGCCCACGAACTGGCGCAGCACCTCGTTGGACGGCCCCATCACCCAACCCGCTTTACCGTCGCGCAGGAGCCGCTCGATGCCCAAGTCAGTCTGCAGAGGCCAGGTCAATGTGAATACTTGGAAAGTACTTACTCGTAACTTCTATTTACAGACGGCATAGATCCTTGAAAATATTTCCAGTTAGTTCTTGTACGTGTAATGAACACTTGTCTGTATAGATAGAGGATCTATCCTCCTTCTTAAATATTCTTGAAATTCTGAGTCAATCAGTAATTTAGCTATGTTACTTTACCAATTTCCATTTCTGTAATTACAGATGTTTTTAAAGGCAACATAAGCAAGCATTACTTTTGTCCTAGTGTTTTTCTTTTATAATTTAGCTTTATCCATTTGTTATAATAGTAATCCTTGGTGTAACAGGTCGTTTGTTTATATCTGCTTTTATATTATCCCCCTGTGTGCAAGGCATAGCCGTAGCATAGCATAGCCTCTAGAAGTGCGGGATTTGAGCGCGGGTCAGTAAGATTGCAAGACGAGAACGCTACCACTGCACCACTCAAGCACACGTTGGAAGATTAGCTGATGAAGAAAATAGAAAAAGGGCAGGCGTACCTTGTAGCCCGAACCTCCGCAGACGTGAAGCATCGTATCAGTCACGTGAGAGACATTCTTGGCGGCGATGAACTTAGCTTGCCACAGCCAGTGAAGAAAGCCGGCCCTGAAGAAAGGAACAGTATAGCCCCAAGTTTAGTTACGGGATTTTAGGTTGGTGGAGCATGAGATTATCTCTTCCTCTCCTCCTCTTTCCCTCCTTTTCTCTCTTCGTTTTTTTCGTTTCTTTCTTGTCTTTCTCTCTTTTCTCCTCTTTCTCTCTTTCTCTCTTTCTCTCTCTCTCTCTCTCACCCTCACCCTC